TAAAAACTGTCTGATGATCTTGTACGTAAAACATTTAGGTATTACACATGCATGCATAAACATTACATTAAAGATTAATTTTACTTAAGATCAACTGTCAGATGATGATCTTGTACATACATAGTATTTAACTTAAGATGAATTCTAACCAATAGATATGCGTATGACACAATCATCATCATAGAAAGGTAACACATGCATCAACATTAAATTTGTATAGTTATTTCCACTTAGACACTAAAAATTGTGACCATTCTGGTGCAACTAACCAATAATCTCCTCTTTGCACGTCCAAGCCACGCGTTAGAGATGGCCTCACACGAGTTCTTTGAAGGATGAAGCATGTTCGTCAATGGCACGTGTACTCTTATTATTGGGCCTCTGAATCTTGGTATGGCCCAATAGAAAAGTCAATAAGCAGCTTTAGGTCTTTCTTAATATATATGTTTTTAATGGAAAATGACGAAAGAAAAAAAGTTTCTAACAAAGATGACAAAGTGGCCAACTTTTAGCATCAACCGGTTTGACGCGACTACTCGACATTGAAATCTATTTCACTTTTTGTTATTTTTTTCTGATCTAATCAAATATTATTGACCCCTCAAGATCAACTGAATGAAACACAATGTCTAATGCCCCAAAGCCACATTGAAAACTTATAATCTAAATAGTGTTTGTCTCTGGCCTTTTCGCATTTTTTAAGATTTTTTCTAAAGAGATTTATATATGGACAAAAGATGAACCTCATGTATGTCCTCAACCACTCTAATTGGTAGTTAAAGTAGTGGCTTACTTTGGACGAACATATCGTGGTATAGTGATGACTATTCCAACTACGAACCTCCATATGATTTTGAACACATTTTGCAATATTACGATAGATACAATTTAAAAGTACCCAATTAGCTTGCTGTGATCCATGACATTTTTCACATCAGCTTTGGTATTATAATAAGTTTAAAAGGATCATGAATGGTACACCATTTTTTCACGTATTAAGTTTTAAGAATGTGATTCAGTAATTTTTTAGTAATTCAAAGTATTCATTAAAATTTTATGTTTTTAAAAAGTAATTCTACTATGTATTACGAATATATTTAAGATATAAATAGAAACGGTGAAACATCATTAATCTATTATAACTAATTTGTACCGTTTTATGATTATTCTATAAAAATTCATCAAGTTCGGTTTTTCACTAATATTATCATTTGGCTATTTTGACATGTTACTACTAGTCAAGTCCAATTATTTTTTAATTATTACTATTATTATTATTATTATTACTCCCTCTGTTTCATTTTATAGGATGTTTTAGCCATTTTATTTTGTTTCACAATATAAGATGTTTTGGACAAAAGAATTCTAGTTTCTATGCAAAAATTAAATTTAAACAATTTGTGATTATTTATATTCTGCAGTAAATGTTTTTATTGGCCAAACTCTCTTTTAAGTAAATATTAAATTATAATTTTAATGTAAAAATATAGAAACAAAAAAGATTAATTAGTTTTTTAAACTTTGTGCTTTTAGCCAAAGCATTCTATATTTTGAAAGAGAGAGAGTATTATTTTATAAATGATTCTGCTATATATTAGGAGTTGTTAAAAGTATAACTAGAAAAACTAAACCATTACATCAACAAAAAAATTAACGTTTTATGATTATTCCATATATACACTTTATGGGAAAAATGTCGTTTTATCTCCCAACTTTCAAAAAGTGGCCAATCAATACGTCAACTTCATATGTGGCCATTTAAAACATAAAATAAACGTTGACTAACGTTTGAGACATGGAAATTCGTTGACCAGGCCAAAATAGACATGCCGTTATCAGTCGTTAACGGAACCTCTAACGCCCGTTATCACCCGTAACGACTCTGTTAATCAACTTTCAAATTATGGCCATTTTAAACATCAACTTTATATGTGGCCATTTAAAACATGAACTAATCGTTGACTAACATTTGAAACATGAGAATTCGTTGACCAGGCCAAAATAGACATGTCGTCATCATTCGTTAAAAAAACCTATAACATCCGTTATCACCCGTTAACGACTCTGTTAGTATATCCAAAACGACGTCGTTTTGAAAATAATCAAGAGAAAATCAGGACAAATTTTTTGTTTAAAGCATAATCCAAGGACATGGTTTGATATATAGACAATCGTAGAGCCAGTAATTGGAAGCAAACATTGTTTATATATTTGTTTTAAATCTAAAAAGGAATCATGGAAGCAAACTTGTAGACCCATCATAGGACTAAAATAGGCATGGGCGTTCGGATATTCGGGTCGGGTTCGGGTTGGGTTTTTTGGGTTTGGGTTTTTCGGGTTTAGAAAACTAAGATCCATTCGGGTATTTTAAAACTTCGGGTTCGGGTCGGGTTCGGATCGGGTATTTCGGGTTCGGATTCAGGTTTACCCAAAGTATCCAAATATTAGAAATTTTGTATCCGATCCTATGCAAAGTATTGAAAAATAATCAAAAAATCTATAAAATCCAAATATTTTAACCCGAATCTAACCCAAAGTAGCTAAAACACCCGAATATCTTAACATCCGAATAATTTTGGCACTTAGGTTATTACAAGTATAAATATTACTAATATATTATAACTATGTACTTATATTTTGGGTATGTTCGGGTACTTGTTCGGGTTCGAGTTCGGGTCGGGTTCGGGTTTTTCGGGTTGTCAAGTTTAGAATCCGTTCGGGTATTTTAAAACTTCGGGTTCGGGTTCGGGTCGGATTTTTCGGGTCGGGTTCGGTTCGGTTCTTCGAGTTCGGGTATTATGCCCAGGCCTAGACTAAATGTAGCTTTTCTGAAATGCAGATAGAGATAATAGGACTATTCATCTTGTTTGAGCTGTTGTAGAAATAGATTTGGGGATTTGGTGTTTTCATTTGGGAAAAATCTTTTTGGACATACTAACAGTGTCGTTAACGGGTGATAACGGATGTTATAGGTTCAGTTAACGAATGATGACGACATGTCTACTTTGGCCTGGTCAACGAATTCTAATGTTTCAAATGTTAGTCAACGATTAGTTCATGTTTTGAATGGCCACATATGAAGTTGATGTTTAAAATGGCCACAATTTGAAAGTTGATTAACAGAGTCGTTACGGGTGATAACGGGCGTTAGAAGTTCCGTTAACGACTGATAACGGCATGTCTATTTTGGCCTGGTCAACGAAGTTCCATGTCTCATACGTTAGTCAACGTTTATTTCATGTTTTAAATGGCCACATATGAAGTTGACGTATTGATTGGCCACTTTTTGAAAGTTGGGAGATAAAACGACATTTTTCCCATTCTTTTTTATTAAATATTTATTTAGCTAAATACATGTCAACCGATAAGAAACATTTAGCCTACAATAAGATGAGAAAAAAGTATATCTAATAAGAACTTATTTGATATACAACAAATAATATTTTATACACATAATACGCATTATGCAAATCATGTGCAAATTTAAATTTAAATTTTAAAATTAATAAGAATGTTGTGATGGATTTTCAATTACTAGTCATGCAACACCAGGCAAATTAACCGACAAATATAGATTTTGAGTAGAAAAAACGTATCTGGAAGGATTTCGAAAGGTTAATCTTCAAGAATTCATAGATGATTACTTAAAGATGAAAAATAAAAAGATAAATTCACGTATGTATATATAATCTTAAGGTTGGATAGAAATTCTGAACAGACTTAACTAAACCGACATCAACAAAAATTTGGCTGATTCAAGATTTTATAGACATGAATTACTTTTTGTGTTTTTCATTATTAAATGATCATCTATGTGGTGTTAGGGAATATAGTAAAAATATGTGTGCCCTTTTATATTTTTCAACAAAACAGAGATGAAGAGGGATGTGAAGATGAGCCGTCTGTACTGCCAAGATGATGTTGATGTCATAGGGGAGAGATTTAACCCCTAAGACATCAAATACCCTTATTGCGACTAAAGATTCTGCAATGTCTGCAATGTGATACCCTTATTACGACTAAGTATCAAATTTTCCAGCCAACTGTTTCGAGAGTATTATGTAGAACTCACGTGCTACTCTTGATGAGGAAATTTATGGTCTAACTATCATCATATGGAAAGAAATTATTGATTTACAAAACTTTCTATTTCCTTTCCCTGAATCTTATTGAAGGATTGTTGACGTTTACATATTGCAATTGTAATTACCAGGTAAAATTTGTTCAATATTTTACACTCTCAAAATAGGGAAATTTTGTTTTCTTTCTATTAAGCTAACTACAAGTAATTGATTTTACTTTATTTTTAAATAAACATATACCCATAAAAATAAAATAAAACTGTTTGATTTTTCTGTAAGGGAATCTCACATGTATTACTTTGGCTTGTCTTCAAATACACTTTTATTTTCCTTCGCTAAATCTTATTGACTATGACGCATATTCAAGTACTGTTGACGTTTACATGTAATTACCGGGTAAGAATGATCAATATTTTACCCTTTTGATATTGGTAAGAATTTAATTTCCTATTAAATTGTGATAAAATTCATTTACTAAAAACTCCTTCTGGTTGGCTACATATATAATCGTCCATTAGGTGAGGTGAGCTCAACCATTTCATAAGCTAATGTCTTTTTTTTTTTACATCACTTATCAAGGATTTAAAAAAAAAAAAATAATGTAGCCTTTTATATAGTTTGTGGTAATAATGTATATATATATATATTTGGTTTAGGTTTAGTATTTTATTTAATTTTAAAATTAAATGATAAAAAATAATTAGAATATATGGCCCCTACATAAATAGTTATTACCTCACAAAAACCAATTGTTTTTGACTGAAAACATTATTTAGAAAAAAAATCATGGACTTCCAATTTTGTGGGCTTAACTTACAAATTTGGTTCCCCTAAGCTTGTGCTTAGCCCAGCGGACCTACTAGGGGCTGCCTCTACCCCTTGTAAGAAAGATAAGACAACATTTAAACATTCAAGAAAACCAACATAAAAAGTAAAAACTAATTTGAAACAACCGATTTGTACAATAAAACAAATTTAACTTAAATATTTTGGGCATCCATCAACAAATTGATCTTGTCGAAACTCTTTTAGTCTATACAAATATGTCAAATATATCGGAAAGAAATATTCCGAAATCTTCTAAAGCTTTCCAATTCCTTTCTGACTTGTCTTCAAAAGTTTCTTAGGTCATTTTCAATCCAGAAATCCTTTTACTCATGAAGCATCTAGAGCTCGTCACTTGAAGTTTCATATGTAGACTGATTTTCAGGACTTTCATATGTAGACTGGTCCTCAGAAGTTTCATATATAGACCGGTCCTCAGGACTTTCATATGTAGACTGATCCTCGAGACTTTCATATGTAGACCGATCCTGAGGACTTTCATATGTAGACTGATCCTCAGGACTTTCAGATGTAGACTGATCCTTAGGACTTTCAAATGTAGACTGATCCGCAGGACTTTCATATGTAGACTGACCCTTATAAATTTCTCCAGATTGAGAAGACTCTAGGAAGAAGTTTACCCCATTCACAACATCATAAACCATCAGTCCAACCCGTGCACCAACCCAATTCCCCAAGGTACTTCCCACAAGGTAACCGAATCTACCAAATCTCTGCTCACCCACATACCCTCCTGAGTAAGCACCAACCATAGTTCCAGAACCGCGCAAAAACCCTTCAGTTAAAGTCCCTCCAAAGTAAAGCGCTTCAAAGAAATCCCACCCAGCTGCTACTATTGGTCCTATGATACGTTTAGCCTGCCTGCTCGCCAGTTTAGCCGCTTTTTCACCTGCTCTCTGCACCTCTTTAGCTGCTTCTTTTGCAGGCATGCTATTTACCAACGCCTCATGCAAGGCTTTCTCGATAGCAACATTCCGGGCTTTCTCTACATGAATAGATCTTATATTATAGAAATAAAGCTTCACACCTTCTTTAACTGCACATGCCAAAGTTCCTGAACTCATATCAAAGCAGTTCAAGAACGTAAACTGTCCACTCTTTGATGCAGCTTCTTGTCCAACAAGTTCCCGACATTTTTCAGCTGTTTACCAAATGCAACAAACAACACACAAGTAACAAAGTTAAACGCGAAAGCATGTTAAAGACAAATCAAAACCACAATAATGTAAACAAAAAGTGTCAGAAACATGGAAAGTTCAAAAACCACAGCAAAATAAACATTTCAACTACGTCTACGATATCGCCATGAGCCTGGTATGAGGACACAGCTGTTTACAAGCATAACATCATAGCGAATGATAAAAAGAGCTAAATTCGCGAATTCGGGATCTTTCACATAGGGCATTAAGTAATTTGAAGATCTAAACACTAATAAGTTCTCATCAATTCAAGTTAAACTAAATATCGAAAGCAAAAACATTAAACTATGAAGTGTTGAAAATGTCAATGATAGTCTAAAATTCTAGTCATTAATCTCATCTTAGTGACCAAATCTTCCATCTTCATACAAATCTAATGATGAATTAAACTTTATTTTTCTACTAATCAGATCAAAGAAAGTGTATTAGAACCAAATCGAGATCTCAAACATCAGTTTAGAACTTCTACTAACAGATTCCTGAAAAGGCGATACATTTACAACTACCCTCAAGTAAAAATCCAAAACCCTTGATTGAATTTGTATGAATTATCCAAAAAAAAAAGACAAACGCGAAAATTATGCGGAAGACAAACGCGAAAGAAGAAACTTTTGCGGAAACAAAATCAAAGTACCTGTCATACTAAGAGCGATTAATCCGATAGCAAAGAGAATAAATTGAACCCTTCTTCTTCGGAAGTCCATGGCTTTTCAATTCACAATCCCAAATTCTTAACCCTAAAAGACCAATTCTGAAATTGTGCCTAAGAAGAACAAAACATTTGAGTGTGAGGAAGGTTTCAGGAAACCACAAGTCAGAGAGAAAGAATATTGGAAGACTCAATCAAAGTCATGTGGATATGTCGGTTCAATCCCGGTTTAGTGTGAAATTAATTTGGGTTAAAGGTTTAATTTGCTAATTCACCAAACAAACATACTTAAGTAGGTATTCCTTAATAAGGGAATCTACAATCGATGACCATAGAAGACTCTTTATTTAACTGACAGGATTATACACTGTTTGAATGGTTTCTGTAGCAAAATAATGACTTATAAACCCCGACCTCCCTATCAAATATTAAAAGAGATATATGAGAATCCAGTAGGCGTGTGTCAGAACCAAGAGATATCATATCTCTTCCAAAGATGTGATTTCCGAGATTTCTTTGGGTATAGTCGCGTAATAATCATGAGAACGGTGCAAATTCGAAGAGTTGCGTTTTTTTTTGTTTCTATTTCAACTCTTTTTTTGTTCTCTTACTATTCTCAGTGTTCTTTCTCTTATTTCTCTCTGCGGTTTACCTTTTTTTTCTCTGATATTCAAGTCGATTCTCCTATTGAAGTGCGGCTTTTTTCGATTAATTCGTCCAAGTAAGTATTTCAATTAAACGCAAATTTTGTTCATTGTTTCCGGATCCATATCTACTCTTTTGTTCTTAAATTTTATTTTTTTCTGGGTTTTGTAGATGGTGGATTTTGACCTCCCTCATCGGCTTATTGCTGCTGGTGAGGAACCGAGAGAGGGCTAACATGTAAAACAAGATGAAAACTCTACATGGTATTATCGACTCGTTGGATGACTTTGAAATCCAGCTTATCAGAGATTCACCTCTCGGCGGTTTGTTGGATTTTCCAAACAAACCTGCTTGGTCTGCCAGTTTCGGTCTTTATCTGTTTGGGCGCCAGTTGGACATAGCCAAAGCCAACGAGATCTTGGTGGTTTATGCTGGTACGCCTGTTGGACATAGCCAAAGCCAACGAGATCTGGGTGGTTTTTTCTTATCTGTTTCGTTTTCAATTTGTAATTTAGACACCTTATTATCTGGTAATTATTTTATTTCTTTGTTATCTCCAACTCTCAACTTAGAGCCTTTTTTTTCCAAAACACATTTATATTCGTTACTGCATAACTAATTTGTTATCTCGTTAAGTCAGTTTCTGTAACTGTTTATTATGTAGTAACACATTTATTGTGTTTTGCATAACACATTTATATTCGTTACTGCATAACTAATTTGTTATCTCTGTTAGTTAGTGTCTGTAACTGTTAATAACACACTTATCTGTTTCGTTTCCAATATTGGAATTTGGGACCCTTAATTTATTTTGTTTTTATGTGGTAATTATTTTATTATTTTCTTCTTATCTCCCAATCTCAAGTTAGACCCTTTTCTATTACAAACATTCATAATTCAATATTATATGTATTACGGCGCTAATGTTGTTATTAGCATTCAATGCCTCTATCCCTCTTGTTTTTGCCTTTAAACCCCCTTAAGAGTAACACATTTGATTTCTCTGATTACAAGCTAATGCATTTGTTATCTCTATAACTGTGTTTCTTTAACTAATTATTAACTTTAACCATTTTGTTTTGTTACCATGGGATTTTTCTAATTTTAATTTTTAATAATTTGTTATTACTTTGTTATTGACTAACCAACCTCTTAACGCCTAAAGATGTTATCTTTTGTAGCTTGTTGTTTCTCGTTTCGATATATTCTTCTTTTGTAGCTTTTGTAACAAATATTTTATCGCACTTTTAGTGATAAGTCAATAACATGTTTATCATTGATAATCTAAATCGGTCATTCAAAGCTCGATTTTGCTATCGTATAATTAAACATTAACTGGATTTCATTATAATCCACCACTTAAAGAGTAACAAATTTGTTTTACTATATAACATTCCGGTATTGCATAACTAATTTGTTATCTCTGTAAGTCAGTGTCTGTAACTGATTATTATGTAGTAACACATTTATTTTCTTCTGCATAACACATTTATTTTCGTTACTGCATAAGTAATTTATTATCTCTGTAAGTCAGTGTTTGTAACTGTTAATAACACACTTATCTATTTTGTTTCCAATTTTAGAATTTAGGACCCTTAATTTATTTTGTTTTTTTGTGGTAATTATTTTATTATTTCCTTCTTACCTAAATCAAGTTAGACTCTTTTCTATTCCAAAACCATCAATATTCAATAATATATGTATTACCGCGCTAATGTTGTTATTAACATTCAGTAGCTCTGTCCCCCTTCTTTCTGCCTATAAACCCCATTAAGAGTAACAAATTTGCTTTCTCTGCAACGTTTTCGTTACAGGATAATGCAATTGTTATCTCCAAAACTGTGTTTCTGTAACTGATTATTAACTCTAACCATTTGTTTTGTTTCCATGGATTTTCTCTAATTTATATTTTTAATAATGTGTTATTACTTGATTATTGAATTAGCAACGTCTTAACGCCTAAAGCTTTTATCTTTTGTAGCTTGTTGTTTTTCGTTTTTTATATTCTTGTTCTAATACAATCTGTAACAAATATTTTATATTCTTGTTTTTTTTATATTTCCTTATCTTTGCCACAGAGATTTTGCGAGCATTTAATGCTCAGATTTGTTGTCGCTAAACACGTTATCTTTGGCACAAAGATTTTGTGTCAGACGTAGGGGTGTTTCGGTCATATTTCCGAATGGCAGAAGAGAGAGAACCAATTTAGTTATTACGGTTCCCAGATCCTCTAATATATTTTCTTCTATGGATTAATATTTTGTTCACCCATTTAATAATAATAACAATCTGTAACAAATGTCTTTTATTGTCACTTCGCTGGTCGCGACTTTTCATCGTAACTCTTCAAAATATATTTTACTTTATTTTTAATTATTAAAATATTAAATAAAATTTTGTAACCATTTAATTTGAACCATTAAAATATTTGGTTTACGTACGAACTATTATAATTTTCTGTTTATTTTATGGACCAATATAATCTTTAATTTATTTGAAAACCGTTGCAACATATGGTATATTTGATATATACAAACGCGTTTTTTTGGTATAACTCTTCATAAAATATATTTTTTTAGTATATTTAAATGAATTTTTGCAAACAGTTTAATTGAACTTTTGCAACATTTAATTTACTAGATTTTGTACTCGGGCGTTGCGCGGAATTTAATTTTAAATATTTTCAATTAATATAAATTTTTAATGATAAAATATAATCATTAAAATTTAAAAGATAAATATTTGAGCATAAATATAATAATTCAAATTTTAAAAGATAAATCTATATAAATGCTAAATTTATTTTACGAAGCGATATACAACATATATATTCTCGACGATACTGTTTCCATGACAAATAAATAGTTTGATATATATCACATGGTAATAAAGATCACTTAAGAAATTCGCGGAAAAAATAAACGTATCGACGACCATCTAATGATCATTTATCTCTAAAAGAGTTTCTTTCTTATTCATATTCCATGAGGACATATCTTTAAAAGTTTTGATATTAATTATCAATTATTGACCTAATTGTAGATATTATATATGATTAAATATTGATACGAACATAAAATCATTCCTTATAAAATGCGAATATACAGAGTTTCATGAACATTATTTAGTGTAAAGGTACATCTATAATACCATATTGCTAGAACAGGTTTAGCGAGCTTGTTTCACCCATCGAAGCTAATGCAGCGTGCCATAAGGGAATTCTTGACTAAGTTATAATATGTCTATCTTATCTTACTTTCCATGATTACATGGCCAAACAGTTAAGTCCAACTTTGAATCTAATAATTTGTTTAATAATATATGTCATATATTTTCTAAGAACCCATTCGTTTCACACAATGAATGAGATCTCAAAGATTTTACCTTACCATTTGCATTATCTTTCTAAGTTTTAGAAATTTATTTTCAAACACTTTTAACTAATCGTCATCTTCTATGATGCACTCGTTGCCTCTCGACATCTACTTTCTTTTCACTTTCTATTGACTCACATATAATATATATTGGACTATGAATTGATTTTCAAGACATATCATAGCTATTTTCTCCTTAATTACTATCTTTCAATACTCTTTTTATTTTGTTAAAAGCATTTGATTCCATTGATGAGATATCAAACTTCTTTTTCTTTCTGATCATGTTATAAAGTTGTAGTTCCACTTGAGAATATGCTACACAAATTACATATCACTTCTTTTTTAACGGCTTACATATCATTTTTATATATTTTGTTGTAGAACTCACGAATAATGTGATCATTGATTTTTTTTTTAAGATGGATGATAAGGCTTTAAAATTTTCAAGATTTGTTTTTAATAATTTCACAAGATAAAGTGTGACTCTTAAAATATCTTTATCTTACATTATAAATTTAAGTTGAGTTTAGTAATATTTTATTTTCTTGAAGTAAAAAGTTTTATAATAAATAAAAGTATGTAGTATATTGTTCTTAGAAACGAATATTTCACTTTACATTTTATTTTCTTGTTTAAATTTTTACATAGATAATTACATAAATTTAGTTTTATTCTACCATGCATTTAAAATTTACTTCAATTCTAAAACTCACTAACACATTTAAAATTTTAAAGTATGATCAATTTAAATTTTTATCATTTAAAATTTTGAATTATAGTATTACCACTAATGAAAAATTCATAGTATTTTTTATTATTATTTTAACATCTCATTTATTTTACATAATTCATTTTTCATTGATTTAAAATTTCTATTAATTATATGTAATATAAAGATGCACTAAATGAATGTTCCGATGCACTAAATGAATGTTCTAAAATTATTTTAATGTAAAATAAATAGTCTTGCTTAGGTGGATGCTTAGGTGGATAGTCTAGATGGAGAGAAGACTCTCCTATTATATATATAGATTTGACTAATCTTTGTAATTTTTGGTTTATTTAATCAACCTTTATAATCTTTAGATTAATCGACAAACCTGCAATCTAAATCCAAAATTTTAATCAGTTTTTAAAATATAATATTATAAAAGTGTAAGTCACTATTTAAGTGTCGAATATGGAGAGACAAAATGTTTTTGCAAGGTCGCTTCTCGAATGGCTCTTTGAGAATCTGGGGAAGAACCAGTGACTGGAAAGAGAGAACTGGCCAACATTGTTTTGTATGGCGGTTTGGTGCGGATGAAAATGGAGATGTGGTAACGGTTTTGGGATCACCGGATGGCAGCAGAGGTCAAGAGATCGCATGATGAAGTGAGAGAGGAGAAAGGCAGGGGAAGTAGAGTTGAAAGGATTGTAGGCTGGAAGCGGCCGAGTGAGGGCTGGATTAAGCTGTCCACGGACGGGGCCTCGCATGGCAATTCAGGGCCAGCCACGGCTTGTGGAATTTTTATGGGGTGGGGATGGACTGTGGCGAGGCGGTTTTTCTCTACGAATAGGAATATGTTCGGCCCCGATGGTCGAGCTGTGGGGAGTGTATTACAGGCTCCTCATTGCTTAGGATAAAGGGTTTAGATGAGTGGAGCTGGAGGTGGACTCCGAGTTGACTGTTGGCTTTCTACCCTCATGGATAAGCGACGCGCATCCCTTGGCCTTCCTGGTACGTATGTGCCACGACTTTATCATAAAAGACTGGTTAGTCCAGGTTACCCATATGTATAGGGAAGATAATCGTCTTGCGGACAGATTAGCGAACTATACTTTTTCACTTCAGTAGGTATTCTTTCATTTGATGTTTGTCCCGATATAGTCAAACCGATTATGTTGGAGGATGCTAATGGGACGAAGTTTTGCCGTCACATTCGTTTGTAATTCTTGTATTTTATTGTAATAAATTGGAGGGGGGTTTTCTCCTCTATCTCACCAAAAAGAAAAACCTGTAATCTTTGGCATATTTGATACATGTGGTCACGTCTCGATATACCTTTTCGTAAAAAAAGTTTTAATTTTGAATTACTAAAATATATCGAAATAAATTATTGCAACTGTTTAGTTGAACCATTGCAACATTTGATTTACTAGATTTTTTACCCGCGCGTTGCGCGGGATTTTAATTTTAAAATTTCTTCTATTGATATAAATTTTGAGCAAAAAATATACTCTTTAAAATTCAAAAGATAATTTTTTGAGCATAAATATAATAATTCAAATTTTTAAAGGTAAATCTATATAAACACTAAACTTATTTTACGAAGCGATATATAACATATATATTATTGACGATAATGTTTTTTTGATAAATAAATAATTTAATATATATAACGTGGTAACAAAGATCACTTAAGAAATTCGCAGAAAGAATAAACGG